CAATCTCATGGTCTAAGGAAATGATACTTGACATTAGAAAATCTTTAGCAGACGAACTATACGATCTTGTGCTAGGCTTAGGATTGGGTCTTGTCCATCACATCATTCTCCTAATGATGTGATCCCGTTATCAATGACATCTAATGTCCATGGTCAGGAAACCATGACCATCTATTGATCAACGAGCTTGTCAACTAGAGGCTTACTAGGGACATGTTGTGGTCTACGTTTTTCGATTAATACAATTATAGCATGAACAATAGATAATTATCATGAACAAGGAAATACAATAATAACCATTTTATTATTGCCTCTAGGGCATATTTCCAACAGTAACATATCGATGACAAAGGGAACAACGTATGTTGTTATACGGTTTGACCGATAAATATCTTCGTAGAATATGTAGGAACCAATATGAGCATCCAGGTTCCTCTATTGGTTATTGACCGGAAGTGAGTCTTGGTCATGTCTACATAGTTCTCGAACCTATAGGGTCCGCACGCTTAACGTTCGGTATTATGAGTTTATGTGTTTTGATGAACCGAAGGTTGTTCGGAGTCCCGAATGTGATCATGGGTATGAAGAGGAGTCTCGAAATGGTCGGGACATAAATATTGATATATTGGAAGCCTATGTTTGGACATCGGAATGGTTCCGAGTGGTTCGGGCATTTTTCCGGAGTACCGGGAGGTTATCAGAACCCCCCGGGAGAAGTTATGGGCCTTATGGGCCATAAGAAGGAAGCACACCAGCCCACAAGGGGCTGGTGCGCCCCCCTTGGGCAGGAGGCCAAATTGGAATAGGTTTGGGGGTGGGGGGGTGGGGAGGCCCCCCTTTCCTTCTCTCCTACTCCTCCTTCCCTTCCTCTCCTATTCCAACTAGGGAAGGGGGGATCCTACTCCCGATGGGAGTAGGACTCCCCTAGGGCGCGCGATAGAGGGCCGACCCCTCCCCTCCTCCACTCCACCATAATCCACCTCGGTCATATCATAGTAGTGCTTAGGCGAAGCCCTGCGGCGGTAGCATCATCATCACCATCATCATGCCGTCGTGCTGACGAAGCTCTCCCTTGACACTCAGCTGGATCGAGAGTTCATGGGACATCATCGAGCCGAACGTGTGCAGATTGCGGAGGTGCCATACTTTCGGTACTAGGATCGGTCGATCGTGAAGACATACGACTACATCAACTGCGTTGTCATAACGCTTCCGCTTACGGTCTACGAGGGTACGTGGACAACACTCTTCCCCTCTCATTGCTATGCATCACCATGATCTTGCATGTGCGTAGGAAATTTTTGAAATTACCGCGTTCCCCAACAGGCGATGTGTAGTGTGCTCTACTATTCTTGATGCTTACGCTTGTAGGATATGAGCACGCAAGAGTTTAGTTAGGCCCTTGTCGTGTTCCAAAGCTAGTTCGTGCCCCCTATGTCAAGGCCTCCCAGCCTCCCATCGACCAGATGCCTCCTGATTTAGATTTTTTGAGGTATCACCTATGATTCTACCATTTGTCGCTTCATCATCTGTGCTGCTCGACCCAGTGTTGTAGCTCATGCTGCTGCTCAAAAGGCAGCCGCAAAGGATAAGAAAGAGGGCAGGATGAACTCCAAGAAATGGCAGCCATTCCTGTCAATGTCATTCTTACAAATAAAATCATAGCTAGCGGGGTGAGGACTGACAAGGCCTTCAAGGAGGTGCACTTGAATGCTATGGCAAAGCATGTGTTCGAGTTCGGTGGGCAGGTGGTCACCTCAACCCAGGTATACAACCACCTCAGGAACCGGAGAGCGAGGTGGATCACAGTGTCCAAGCTCAGAGACTTGAGCGGTGCTTCATGGGATCAGGACACCTGCTTGATCCTTTTGAAGGAAGAGCACTACCAAGGCCACACCACGATTAGCGCACGAACCATGCAATTCTAACTAACCACCTATTTAAGCCCATGTACAATGTGATTCTAACTAACCACTCTGTTGTGTTACTTTCTTAGGCTCACCTCAAGCACGCAGAGTTTCTCAACACAGCCATCCAAAACTACAACCAGATATAGCAGATCTTCTCCTTCGGGCTAGCAACCGGCAAGCATGCCCTGGGAGCCGGGAGTCATTGCATTCGCCTATGCCCGAGTATCCAGACACCCAGGAGTCACAGACCATTGTCCTTGATGGTCCTGTCAAGGATGGTGATCACGTTTCCTATGTTTGATAGGAAGAGGAAGAGGGGAGCCTTGATGGAGGACGAGCTGACCGTCTTCACCAGCATGACTCAGGTTGTGAAGGAGGTCGCAAGCGCCATCAGGGAGAAGCAATCCGGTCTACGTCCACCCTGACCTCTACATCGTCGTCATGGACCAAAGTGGCTTCAGCCTAGAGGCTCTCATGGCATCTCTGAGCCACCTGCTGGGCAACAAAGCCCAATGTGTTGGGTTTGTTGCCATGGGAGACACCCACGGGGTGCTCTAGCTTAGGACCTGGGCAGGCAAGCACTACTACTAGTGCTGCTTCTGGTGGTGGTGATGACGTGCATGATCCTCAACGACGATGGCGATGCACATTTTGTGGTAGGGAAGGCTTGATATACTCTTGATGCTGGCCTATTTATTTTGATGAGGTGGTATAGTAACCCCTTATGCTGATGGTGAACAAGCGGTGGTAGGATGACACCATAGTAGTGGTAGGATGAACTTGTTAAGCAGTATGATCATGCATGCTTACTTATGATTCATGTCTATTATGATCCATTGCTTGCTTCTAGAATTATTGCTCCTGTGCCATGCTAAGACAAGTGGTATGTGGTGTTCCGAGGGAGGGTTCGAGGGGTTTATAGTTCATGGGAAGCATGCAATGAACAAGTGGCGAGTTACAAAAACAGCCGCCACAAAAGGGTTTAAGAGTAAGCAGGCGGCAGCAGATGCTTACTCCAAGGCCGTGCTCAAGTAGGCATGCAGTGTTGAACTTGGCAAGTCGGATCGACAGTTTGGGTTGAAGAACTTCATCGTCATCATTCAGTTTGTCATGCTTGCAGTGTTGTTCTACTGGTGTGACCGTGTGTAAGATGTAGTTGGAAAGCTCACCAGGTAGGATACAAGGTAGCTAGACCTCACTGTCTGTATGCAACCAAACAACGAGCAGTAGTATGAGCCGAGCCAATGCGACCAAGCAAAGCACAATGCGTAGAGTCGTTGCTACGATGCAGGGTAAAGGGATGCAGACAAAAATTCAACATGCAGATGTTGGTTTATTGCCTGCGTTAGCTCAACCAGGCTCACTTGGAACAAGTATGCAAAGTGGCAAAAAACGATGTGAGTAACCAAACACGTCAATAGTGAATGATATGGCTCGTAGTTTGAACAGTGGTGAAAAAGTTTGGAAATCTCTATGAAGCAGAAAGTCCTACCCAAAATTCAGGTCTTTTGGGGCGAGTTATTGAAAGTGCATTTAATCCCTAGTGGTATTTTGATGTGATGACATGTGGTTAGCGAGACTAATGATGATTATTAAAGTTTAGCTATGTTCATTGGCCTTTCGAATGTTTTATATGGAGATGGTTGACCACCCCAATTTTCAAAATGGGAAAAGGCGTGGTTATCCCAAGACCCGGGAGTTTTGTTTTGGTTTCTTTTGAGTCATAGGACAACCGTACTATTAAGAAAGGGTGACTACTAAGAACGTTGTGTTTCGCTCATGAGGTCTGGCACTCCACCCTCTCCCATTGTCGCATTACCCACTTCACCCCGAGCCCGACCTGCGTTCTCGTCTAGTGGTGGGCCATATCTTGCTCGTTGGTTCCTCGACATGCACAAAAAGGTTTTGACTCCGTCATCGTCCTCACCGATGGATGCTTTGGAAGGAAAGGAACAAAATTGCTTGCAAGGTGTACCATCAGATTGCCTCCGAGGTTCAGTTGTTTCGATGCGGGCTGTGCCACATTTAGAGATAGGCTTTTAGTGTTTGTTTTGCATTGGGGATGTCATGTAGTTAGTGCAGCGCCCTGTAACTAGTGATGATCACGAAGGCCTGGCTCTGATGCCTCGGCCCTGGCACCTATTGATTTTTTCTTTCTCGACTCTTGAGTAGGTCACATTGGAGGCCGAAAAATTAAAAAAAATCAAACTTTGCAATTTTAAAAATTCCTAAAAGTCATACACATATACGAGGATGTAATGTATATTCATGTATTTCATGATGAAATAGCTCAGATTGTGTGCCGCAAAATAAAGGAGTTTGAAAAGAACAGTGTATGTGTTGAAAAGCCACTTTTTTGTAGCTCTCATTTTAACATATTTCATCATGAAAATTTACACACATATACATTAGGGTGTATGTGTATTAAAAAAAGATTTTAAAATGTAAAAGTATGAATTTCAAAATTTTCAAATTCAGCCTCCATGGTGCTCATCTTCCATTCAGCATTTTCAGCCTTTCTTGTACCGTTCGATTACAATCTTGTAATATACTCCCTCTGTCCAAAAATAAGTGTCTTGAGTTTAGTACAAATTTGTACTAGAGCTAGTACAAAGTTGAGACACTTATTTTGAGACGTAGGAGTATCAGACACCGACATGCAACAAAAACAAGAGAAAACCAGACCCCGAAGTCATGCATCTCTTGATAATATAAGAAAAAGCAAGTGAAAGCCAAATACAAACATGAAAGACACAAAACAAACCATAGCGTAGGGGTAATAGTTCAGAGAAACACACACACCTCTTGATTCAATGCTCAGTTTGGCTGACCAAAGTTGTGCACACTGCTATAGTACATTTTGTTGTCAATGGACGCACAACCTTGAAAAACTAACATTATATTGACTGATACCAGCAGCAGCAGTAGTAGTACTAATTAAGCAGGTAGAGATGGACATGGACGGCGATGCTCTAATAGGGAGCTTGAAACCGGTCAGGTTTTACAATATCCTTGAGCTGTCCCCGATGGAAGCACAACATATGCAAAACGCACGCACGCTCACATAATTTGCTACTACTACTACAACAATCAAACAACGGAAACCCCTTCATCAATCCTGCACTGCAAATCCGCATCATCATCATCAGAGTTAAACACATGCATGCATGGCAACCGGCTGGCCGGCCTCGCCCTTGGTCTGCACCCACAACGTCCTGGTCAGTACCCTAGGTGCCCTATCTCCGCCGCTATGTCCCAGTTGAGCTTCGACGCCACCCTGTCGTGGTAAGGCACGTAGTTCTGAGCAGAAACAAGCAGTCTCATCGTCAGATGCAGAATTTTACACGCGCGAGTTCAGGTTCAGGTTCAGGTTCAGGGTCAGAAAATATGTATGTACCTCGAGCTTCTCCATGAGCTCCTCGGCCGTGGGGGCGAGCACGATGATGCGGCGCGCGCTGGTGTTGATGAACCCTTCCTCCACGGCCTTGTCGATGAAGGTCAGCAGCGAGTTGTAGTACCCGTCCACGTTCAGCAGCCCAACCTGAAGCAAAGCAAGCAACATCGCGTTCGTTCAGGCATTTCTCAGTTTCAACCTCAAGGAAGGATCGACAGAAAGGACAGTGGCAGCCCGTACCGGCTTGTGATGGATGCCGAGCTGCGCCCATGTAATCACTTCGAGTAGCTCCTCCAGCGTACCATATCCTCCTGCATTGACACAAGTCACGTGAATAATCTGCTACTGGTTCGTTGTACATCGCACAGCAGGACGTGCAACACGAGCGGCTCTCAGCGGCTCGACACCTCCATGCATGTACCCGGTGGGGGCGATGCTACTGCTAAAACGTTTGCCCCAATTATTGGGAATTTACACCAGCTAGCTAGCTGGACCCAGATTCATGCATGGGATCTGGAGCTAGCTTTCATTTTTTGGATAGACATGTGAAAAATGCCCCAAGTTACAGCCTGATCTACCACTTGACTGTAACCTGCCATTGATTTCTGCAGAGCAATGAATGTTCTATATATTCACCTGATCCAGATCCAGACGAGGTAAAGATGCAGGCAGGCAGGCTAATATGGTTACATGTGTGTGCTGAGTTGGTGTGACTCACCAGGCAGGGCTATGAAGGCGTCAGAGTGCCTTGCCATCTCTGCCTTCCTCTGATGCATGTCCGCCACTGCCCTCACCTCCCCCACCGTCTCACCGCTTATCTGAAACAGACACAGAGAAAACATCAACATTGCTGCAAAGGAAATAAGTCTCTGCCATGCCATGATGCATGCTTGGTCTCTTCGTGTTTGGCGACATAGTATTTGATCTGCGGAGACAAACACTAGCACATTCCCAAGACGGGGCATGATTGTGCTCAAAGGGGGCCGAAAATGTCATTAGCTGCTTCAAATATCCTCTCTCTTTTTTACCCCCTTGGGCAAGGTTGAAAGGACTAGCAGGAGGCTGAGGACCACGCAAAAAGCCACAGCCAACATAAAAGAAAAACGACTCTGGATATGCATGAACATGAGAGTCCTCTGAAGCACGTACGATTTAATTGTTTCTGAGCACACCATCTACCAGTGATGTGACATAGTAGTATAGGATAAACCACGATACGATACGGTAACCCTAGTGCGTATCATGGACGAGCATTTCATTTATCTTTTGGAAACGCATTATTCTGAAGAAAACATGAGGGCCGGGCAGCCAAAGAAGGCAATATCTCTTTTCCCCTAGCAGGCAGATTAGAAAGGAGATGATGCTAATAACCCAATATGCTGCCATGGCAAGGCTTTTGGTGGCAAGAGATTGCTCTACTACTAGTGTACAGCTGCGCTTTTTGCGCCACTAGTAGTTTATCCTCACGCCGAGATCTGGATTTGTGCCAAAAGCATACTGCTACCTCTTGATCACAGCTGCTCCTCCTCCAGGTAGGAGTGGTAGTAGAGGGTATTCTTTTCTTTTGCACACCCAAGTGCCATGTCCCCTGGGACTGCAGCACCGGCAGGAGTGCTTCAAACTCCCAAGCCCATTTGATTATTAGTGACTCTACGCCCTAACACTAACAGCGACGACATAAACAAGTCCCGAACGTTAGCACGTTGCCATGATTGGCTCCAACAGAAGCAAGCGTTTGCAAGCTGCAGGTAGTACGAGCAGGGACCCAACTGGCATGCCCAAGATCTTTCGGACGAGCCACGGCAGGCCATGGACGGCGGAGAATGTCGGTCTGTTTGGTACGCGTGGGAAGTTGCTAGTACTACATGTTGCTGGCCAATTTTGTCTGATCATCTAGAAAAGCAAATCGAGTTTCAGCTTCAAAATTAGCGAGACACTACGTTCTTTCAGGTTTTTTTTTGAATCTCCAGTTAATTAATTAATTAATTAATTTAAAAGCATGCATCTAGTACACAGGATATTCGCTCCTAGTAGTTGTAGACATGCACGAGTAGCGGACATACCTCTGGGGTCATGAGGGTCTTGGGAATGACACTGCGCGTGGACAACAAGATGACAAAACAAGCGATCAGCACATGCATCCACCAGGCCAGCCCAGCTAGCTAGCAAAATGAGAAAAAGAAGAAGAGCCAAGCTGAGCTGAGATTGTTACATACCCTATGACGTGCCTGCCGCCGTCGTGCACCGCCTGGGACACCATGCCCATGAGCCCGATGCTCCCCCCGCCGTACACCAGGTCCACGCCCCTCGCCACCTGCCACAGCAACGTGCCAAGTCACCACCCAGTAAATTCAAATAGGAAAACTGCACGGTTAAACTCCTCCTCAACGGCCGGTACAGATGAAACATGCTTCTTGAACGCGATCGATCAAGAGGGTGGGGGGCAGAACAGAGCTAGCATGGCTATAATTCAATTTCGATTTAATGGAGCCGTGAATGCGGTAGGGCCGGCGATGTTTGACGAGCACAGGGGAGGAATGACTTTTGTGGAATTGTTGTGGAGGAGGAAGGCAAGCCGCAAGCGGGGCAAATTTTGACAAAAGTTGGGCAGCAAAGTAAATTGCAAATTCATATGGTGTAAGTGACTAGCCGGCCCGGCCGGTTCAGAAATATATATGGTGTGACTACGCACGCGCATAGAGGTAGGGAGAGTGGTGAGTGTGGCTAGTAAAGCATGGTTACCAGCTCGTTGCCGAGCTCAATGGCGGCGTCATGGTAGCTCCTCTTCTTGCCCTGGCTACTGCCGCAGAAGACGCAGATCCTCTTGAACCTCGACTGCCTCATCGCTCTCTATCTCCTCGCTCTGGCTAGCTGCCTGGGTAGGTGGTGCTCGACTCTAGCAAGCAAGCACGCAGGAGTCGCGCTTGGAGGGTGATTGTCGTGGTGGTGTGGGGTGCGTGCGCTGCTAGCACAAACACAAGGAAGGAAGGAAGGAAGGCCTTGTGGATGGAGGGAGGGAGGCAGTGCGCCACCCATGGCTATATAATAGTGGGGAGGGGAGAGAGACGATAGTAGAATGGGAACTGAAAGGGACGGAAGCAAAGGGAAGGGAAGCAAAATAAATGCGCGCACATGGAGGAAAAACACTCCTCCATCCATCCACGGATCCACCCAGCCAAGATGGCGAGGGCTTTTCCGTGAAATGGACAGGATGGGCTGTCTGTCTATCGATGCAATGCACGGGTGACTCACCTTATCGGTTTTGCCGCGTCAAAGCGGAACGGGGATTATCCTCCCTCCCTGGGTCGTTTAGGCTCGAGCTACCAAATCCATTGATTAGAAATGAGTGTTATAAGAACACTCGCAAAGGAGGAATGCACCGCAAAAAGATGAGCGCCAAAAAAGAAGAAAGTAAAGGACTGGTCGGTTTATCAAGGAAAACCGGGCGAAAACATAAACAACACCTTGACATTCAAAAGGCCAGAAAGGTCAACATCCGAGAACATACCCGACCGGGCACTCGAGCTTCTTCGTTGCTACCAAAGTCAGGGACTTTCACGGTGTGATCTACATACCATACAGAATGAGAATTTCAATTTGGGCACAAGTTGGAATCAACGGCTCGAGCTTCAAACCCATCTTATACATGGGACTTGGTATGGAACTTAATCTGCCCAGCAAAGATAAAAATATTTATGTGGCGCGTACTTCAGAGTGCTATTCCCTGTCGATCTATCCTGGCTAATAAGCACTTGAAAATAAATCCGAGCTGCCCAGCCTGTAACCAGGGGCCTGATGACATAAGACATATGTTGTTTGAACTTTGAATGCAAATTGGCAATGGACGTGTGGAAGTTGCTCGGTCTTGAGCTTGTTATCAAACATGCATTGAAAGTTGACAAGGCAGGTGAGCTTGTGTTGGCACATCTTTTGTGCCTTCCAGAACAACAAATCCAAGTGTTGGGCTTGCCGAAGTTCAGAGAAACGATGGCAACGACGGCTTGGTATTTGTGGTATGAAAGGCGAAAATTGAAACATGACGAAGAAACTCTAAGCGCATGTAAAATCAATATGTCAATGAGAGGCTTAGTAGCAAATTATATCATCTCTTATAGCCCAAAGGCTCACGTCCGTTCAGATGCTTGGCTGAAACCAAAGTATGGTTACGTGAAATTAAACGTTGACGCGGGATTTGATAGTGACACACGCAACAACATTTGGAGCAGTTATCCGGGATCATAAGGGGGAATTTATAGCGGCTGCTAATGAAAAGATGGACCTTTGCTTCGACTCGTTCACAGCAGAAGCAATTGCAGTGAGGTTTGGTTTGAATCTTGCTAATACCGTCGGATGCAGTAAGATTGAAGTGAATTCGGATAGCATGGAGGTGGTGAATGCATTGAGCCAAGGCTACTCATCTTCAGTCGCTTCATCCATTATAGATGACTGTTATTTTATGTCATTAGGTTTTTCCCATGTCATTTATGATCATTGTAATAGGGAACGTAATTGAGTAGCTCATGAACTAGCAAGATTAGTTAGGTTTTTTTCTCCGAGTGTTTGGATGGATAACGCCCCTGATGAGGTTATCCCTTTACTTGTAAATGATGCTACTTTACTTATGAATGAATAAAGGAGAAGAAGTTTATAAAAAAAGTGTGCAACAAAAACTGTCGTATTAGTCGGGTAGCCACAAGCATATCTGCAACCTCGACGACATCGAAGAGGAACGATATGTCCTACAGAGCAAAACATATGGCGCTCCGATCCCAAGAGGATGGACGACATAACCCACCTGATGCCCCTTGCATGTGAACGGTGCTGCTACTGCCAACCACCGTCGGCCAGGCAACAAGTCCTAGCGGGATGCACCACCATCGGCTCCACGCTCACCAAATCGATGCCCGCTCAAGACCAAACACATCACCACTAACCCGAGGCTCAGTCCAAGACTTGACTCCAAGACGATGCTTCCAACGAAGTAACAACGCCACGGGCGCCACCATCATCGATCCAATCAAGCGAATCACGGTTTTCACCGGGAGGCAAGATCTCGAGGATGGAAGAGGTGGTGGATCCCCTCGATGATGCCCCCAACAAGGACAATCATACCCAAAGGCATCATTTGCTACCAGCCCCGACCAAGGCCGAACAAGACTTTCATTGAGAAAGATGAACACCTATGTGAGGGAACGAAGTCCCCAACACACCACCACCAAATCAGAACCAAAAGACGCCACATGCTGTCCCACATAGATCTTGCCGGAGCACCACCAGCGGTGCGAGCCCGGAGCACACCAAAGGCCTTCCCAGAACGGCACCACCGCAGACTGCCATCCCATCGAGGATTCACCACACATACTGTCGTGGTTTTGTCACGGTAGATGTCCTAGAGAAAGGACTTAGTCGTGGAGCCATCGCGACGGGTTAGCTTGAAGGGGTTAAAGCGGACATAGGGACGCAAGAGAGTTTATACTAGTTCGGCCCCTTCGATGAAGGTAAAAGCCTACATCTAGTTGTGATGGAATTGATGGGGTTTCGATGACTAGGGAGCAAACAAGCTTCACCTAAGTCTCGAGTTGTTGTCTGTTGTCCTTGAACCGCCGCCGGGTCGTCCCCTTATATACACGGGTGACGCCCGTCGGTTCATCCAGTCCCAATACCGGCTCATAGATGTATCTGGTTTGGTCTCTACTTATTCCTAACTTACAATACAAGTTACATCCCAACGCCGGTTTATGGCTACAGGCCTTAAACCGATCATGGGCTTTTAGCCCTCATCTACCTTCATGGGCTTTAACATACTTAACTACTGATGAAGTTAACCCGGCCCAGATAGGCCGGTTTATGCCCAGTAGTAATATCCCCAACATTAGGCCCCTGATTGATTTGAACAGGTTCATGTCAATCCTTAGCAAAAATCTTCACCTTCAACATCTTCTTGTAATTTGTTGAACCGTCATGATGTCATCTTCTCTGGTCGTTGTAAACCGGCGTGACGTCACCTATTATAAAGAACCTTATCCATGATACCCCTTTTTTCTTTTTTTTTTTGTTTAATAGGTCTCCGACAATTAAGGCGACAACTTCATTTCCAAAACCACGGTCCCTTGATTTTCGCGCCTGACTCCTGTCTCTTGCCTTATAAATAGGACTGAAGGGTCATTTCTTTTTCCCCTTCGTGCCCTTCTGCTTCGTCTTCCTCGCGTCGTCCACCTTCGGAGCTCCACCGCCGTCGACGACCTCTGCTCCAACCTTGGCCGCTGCATCACCCTGACTGTACCAGAGCATCGCGGCGACCTTCTGTTTCTTCCTCGGCTCCGGTGAGTTCTTCACCTTTTCCTCCGTAGATCCGTTCTAGGGTTTCCAAGATCTTCAGAGTTCATCGTCTGCTTTGTACTCATATGATAGATCCTAGATGAACCTGTGAACCTTTTCTCTGTGTAGCGGTAGTTCTTAGCATCCGCCTTTACTCATATGCCTCAAGACCGTAGATCTACCTGTATCTCTGCCCATTGATTCGGTACTGTTCTTTTTTGAACCTTGAATATTTTCCTTCTTTTCAGAACTTGCTTCAGATCCGTCGATGTAGAGAAATCTTGTGAAATCTGTTTCTGTACACTTATCTATCTGCAATCTCAACTGTTTCAATGCTTAGATCTGGCGGTTTAACTTTATAGAAAAATTGCCAAACCGGTATATACCATTAGTCCCCTTGTTGAACTGCCTGATGCTGTTGCTTCATAAAACTCCGGTTTAGATAAAGCTGTCTCCGGTTTAACATTGTATATACCAGTGCACTTTAATCAATGCATTCTTGAACCAGAATTACCTATCTTGTAGATTTCATCATGGCCAAGCAAGTATATGAGTGCAACTGGGTTCCTTCTCGCGTCACAGAGACTCAACTGAACAATTTAGTCCCGATCGGCGCTTTAGGCAGCAAAAACACCATCCATTGGAGAGCCCCCGGCAAAGAATGCCCTCCCACACCTCAAGAAGGAGAGGTCGTTGTTTTCGTAGATCACTTAGCCCGGGGTTTTAAGCCGCCCGGTTCTAAATTTTACCGGGACATTTTAGCCGATTTTCAAGTCCACCCACAAGACACTGGTCCCAACTCTGTTACAAACACGTGTCACTTCCAAGTGCTCTGTGAGGTGTTCTTTCAAGAGGAGCCCACAGTAGAGTTGTTCAAAGACTGTTTCCATCTAAACCGCCGTACTGAGTTTTCTGACGGTTCCAATACGGAATTGGGCAGTGTGGCGATTCAGAAAAGGAAAGAGGTCACATACCCTCATGCCAAGCTGCACAGCCACCCCAAAGAGTGGAATCAAACATGGTTCTATTACAAAGACACCTCCCCTGCTGGTGAAAATCCTTTGCCTGGCTTTCGTCCGGAGCGGCCTAGCAATACACACCCCTTTCCGCAAAGGTTGACTGCCAAGGAGAGAAGCAAATACGCTCCTCAACTGTCCAAGCTCAGAGCCTTCATGGCCAATGGTTTAACAGGAGTTGATCTCGCTCGCTGTTGGATATCGTGGAGCATACTGCCCCTTAGTCAGCGCTCCGGTTTGATGTGCGAGTATACTGGTAGTGTTGATGACCCATTGCGACATGCTAACATCCAGCTTACCGACGAAGAAATCACAGAGGCTGTGAATAAAATGCTGAATGAACCGGAACACGTCTGTGCTCGAACTGGCCTGCTTCCCTTCTGTGCCACCAACAAACCGCCAGCTGTAAGAGTTTGATTGTTCTTTTTTTTCTGAATCTGTTATTGATATATCTGGTCATTGTTTAATATCAATGCCTGTTTAAACAGGGCAATGATCCGTTTTGGAGCA